CCATGCAGGGGGCAGGAAAGGGACCGACCCCTCCCAAGCAGACTCCTCCCACCCACAGTCCCCTGCACCCACAGAGCACCCCCCCCGCCCCCACTGCTCCAGTCCCTCCCCATTCCCAGTCCCTTACTTACCCGGGATGGGGGTCCCACCAGGCTGCAGCCTGCACCGTTCAAGGCTGCCCCACATGTGGAGGCAACGTGTTCCAGCACCAGGGCAAGGGGCAGCCATAGAGACACACTGGCTGACTGCCAGGGCATATCTTTGGAGGACCCGAGCCTCTGGTTGCCTCAAGACAGGGTCCTGGACCCTGCCCTGCCCCACTTTTTTTCTGCAGGTTGTTTTTGTTTTGTTTTTTTAATACCTGGATTTCCAGGTATCAAATTTTGAGCCCACACTGAAAATATGCAGTGTGGGTAACATTTCCTGTTCCCAGCATGCCTCTTGCTGCATCTCAAACTGCTTTGAGACATGGCAAGAAGCATATGCAGGCTCATCTAAATGTGTCCTTAGTGCCCTTTGCTATAGATTCAATGGTCCTCTTCTACCCTCCCCATATGGCAATGAGGTCCAGAACCTCATTTAATCACCTGGCCGGGGTCGTTTGACCCCAGTATTCTTTCCTGCCCATGGCAGGGGGTCAGACTTGATGGTCTGCTGGGGTCCCTTCCGACCCTACCTACTATGAAACTATGAAACCTATGAAACACTGCTGCAATTAGATGACCACTTGATGGGGTCTGGGGAGGGGGCAGCTTTTGATTCATGCTAGTGAACTGATTCAGGAAAAGTTTGTGCTTGCTGACATGTGCCCTGCAGTGTTTACATTTTTTTACCTCCAGGGGTGGGGGAGGGGGGGGGAATGTCACAGGTGGAAGGGGGAGTTGGCTTGGTGCCAGATCCACTCCCTGAGCAGTAGAGTTCAGAGGTGGGAGGGGCCCCTGTGCATCCTGGGATACTAGAAGATTTCAATTTAGGTGGAATAGTTGCCCGGAGCGGCTACGCCTTAATGGAATAGTGGGGGAAAAAGGTGGATTAAAGATACTCCTGTCCTGAAGCAGTGTAACATTAAGATGAAGAATGGGTGCTCAAAGCCACTGAAAAGGTGCTAATGTGCAGTCAGTCTTGGGGTTTAGAGTATGGGTGTGTGATTTAGATTCGGATTTGGCCTGAATAAGGGACAGTGATTCGATTTGTTGATTCGGATCACTGTCCCTGATTCAATTTGGCTGAATCTGAAGATTTGATGCTGATTCAGAGAATCAGTGATTCAGACATAGACAAAGCTTTAAAAGTTTTTTCTAGGTACCTTGAGGTAGCAGGTGCAGCTCGGTGATCACTATGATGCTGGGGTACATGGAGTGTTCCACAGGAATACAGGGGAGGGTGGGGGGCGCTTTACGTGCACTGCGACAAACCAGGAAATGGATCAGAAGTACTTACAGTCCACTTCCAGGTCTGCCACAGAGCATGCTTGGGGGCCTCCCCATGCCTCTCTGGCTCAGCAATTGGCCACAGGGGGACCCTAGGGGCCCCCCCCCCCCAGACCCAGGAGGCACCAGTCACTGAGCTGGGAGGTGCAGGGGGCCACCCTGCGCACTCCCCGGTGGACCCAGAAGTGGACTGGAAGCGCTTCTGGTCCACTTCCAGGTCTGCTGTTGAGTGCAGTGGGGAGCGTCCCGTGCTTCTGTGGGACACTCAATGCACCCCAGCATCACAGCATTCATGAGCACCTGCTACCTAGAGGTATGTAGAAAAAAACCTTTAAAGCTGTCTCTATGTCCGAATTGATTCAGAGGGTTCCAATTCAATTCAGAGTGATTAAAGGGTCCTCTGATTCGATTCAGATTCAGAGATTTGGCCACTGAACCAGGCCAAATCTCTGCCGAATTGAATCAGGGACCGAAGCTTTGCACAGCCCTAGTTTGGAGCTCCACAAGCCCCCTAAAATTATCATTGTAGAAGGCCTGATGATTGTATGAAAGCCCCATTTCCTTCCTTGATTTTCAGGGTCCTTCATGATACACTGGGCCACAAGCAGCATCTCGAAGAGCCACTGAATGGGGAAGTTCCCTGCCCCCTTCCCATCCTCTCCACTCCTCCAAACCTGGCAGGAGGGTACCGTGGTTCTGATGGACTCTGAGCCATGCAGCTGACATGGACCAGTGTAACAAACCCCTGCAGTGTCAGGCACATTCACTACAGCCTGTGGCAGAATTCCACCTCTGTCTCTCCCCACACTCTGCTATGAGGTGATGCCTAATCTGAAAATTTGGTTACCATGGTCACTGCAGAGGGCAGACACCCCTGGCCCCATCGGCTTTAGGTATCCCTGAGTTGTAACCTGAGCTGGATACTTTCTTGAGGGAGGGGGAAACCTGCTGCCTCTGCCTACATGACTGGCCTCACACACCTGGGTGGGGACTTAAAATCCCCATTGTTCTAAGCAATGTCATCATGACTGGGATGGGGGCTAGAGACCCTGCCAGTCTACCTGGCAAGCAGTGATGCGTTTCAAATTAGTTGGCTGGCAGCCAACAATTGCTGGCCTTCATTGGATCAGGTAAATGAGGTCATAAGTTCTATGTAAGTTAAGGACTGCCCAGGAGGTGGGGCAGCAGCCATGATGAAAACTCTCAGAGAAGCTGGACCATCTGAAACTTGCTCTCTCTCTTGAAAATCATGTTCAATAAACTGCCTGCCTCCAGAGGAAATTTCCACCTGCCACTGGATGATACTTGTGAGTAAGCTGAGATCTAACTAGATATATAGCCTGCAGTAACTCAGATGCATGATCAAAGGCTATCATGCCACTGTTTGCTCTAAGGGATTTCTCTGATATTGCTCTACCCTGTACCCTATTCCAAACCTGCTCCTTGTAACCATTGAAGTTCTCCTCCGTACCTAGCATGGGAGACTTATTGGGGGAGGGGCTAGGTTATGTTTTGGGATCCCCTTGGTTCAGCTGACTAAGGGAGACCACTATTTGTGAGACCACTGTTTGTGGACCACTATTTGTCTGGCATTGCCTGCATCAATCCGGTGCTTTGTTAAGCCTGTCCAGCCCAGATCATGGTCCCCCAGGCTGAATACACTGGCATACTCCAGTAGCACCTCTTGCATGGCTCCTACTTGCTCTGGTTCCAGGCCACAATGGCCTAGCTTGAACTCGTGTGTCAGTTGTCCTGCAGTCCACTGATGGTCCTCACCCAGCTCCCCAAGGGGGTGGTTCTTGTCTGTGCTCAGTGCTCATATAGTGACTGAGCCCTGTGTCCCAGGGTCTCCTTGCAGGACAGCTATGCCAGTTTCAAATGTCCCAATTATGGTACCTTGATATGCAACCTAAGGCTCTGCTGACATATTGGCCACATGTACTGGAATTTCGCCCTGGTGGCTCTTACCCATTGCAGTTCCCACCAGGAGCCCCAATTCCTTGTTAGGCTTAGGTTCAAACAAGCCTTCCTCATCCTTGCGGCACCATCTCTTCAATCTGTCTGTGATTATCATTTCACTTCTAGGAGGTACTGTCTGACTGTCCTCCACTACCACTTCACACCCTTCGGTTTGACTATCTGTGGTGTACAGAGGAAAACATCACACCAGCAAGGAAGAGTCAGTAAAGTTTATGGTGACTTGAAACTGTTTTAGGAAGTCAGTTCCCAACAAAGTGTCTTGCCTGGCATCTTTCAGTACAAGGAATGTGCATTTTAGCTGCAGGCCTTGGAAGTAGATGATTGTATTCCACTCCCCCAGGATTGGGAATGCTTCCCCATTAGCTGCCTTGACTACTAGGCTACAGGGTTGTAGATCCCTTTCTGTCCCAGTTGTTGCTTGTGCCCTTACTCAGTAATGTACAAGGGATACCTGGGCACCTGAATCTAGGAGAAATTGGCAAGGAACCTCTCCTAGCTTTCCTTCCAGGTAATACCCCAAACCTGTGGAACAACAATTACTAGATCCTCCTGTTGGCTTTGGGGTGTATCAGTAGAGGATGGGCCCTTCTCCACTGACTGCCTCAGTTTCCCTACCTGGGATGACACTTTCTCTCTGGACAGTCCCTCTGGAAATGGTCATGGCCACCACACTGCCAGCACCGGCCAGCAGTCACTTGTTGCAACCCCAGCTGCCATGGTCCAGGTGGGCCCCCATTTTCAGAGCCTGGTGGAGTTAGTCCATTCCACCCTGAAGTTTCTGCATGGTCTCCATTATTGCTTGCAGGATTGACAGTTCTGGGGTTGGGGTGTGCACTGCCAGCTCATTTTCTTTAGTATGTATATGTACTCAGGCCTCATGGTCTCTAGGACTTTGGCCCCACATCCTCTCTGCCAGCTCCAAGTTAGTGGCTAGGTGTATGGCCGCTTCCAGGCTCTGGGGTCTTCCCAGCCAAAGTTGAGCTTTTACCACCCCATTGCAGGCATGTTGTACAAAATGGTCCAGGGCAAGCATGTCATGTGCAACTGAGCTAAGCTGTGGGAAGGCCTTTAAGGCTAATCGTTTGAGTGTGAGTGTGAGGCCAAACCCTGGACTGACTCATTGGGTGACCGTACTCATGTACGGAAAGCCATACTAGCCTATCCAGGATCTGCAGTTGGTTTGAAAACTTCCCTGAGAGCTTCTATTAAGCATTTGTAGTCCTGCTTGGTTTCAGGGCTGAGGCCATAGTAGACTGCCCCAGCCTTCCCTGTGAGTAGCAGACCTAAGAAGTCTTGCTTGCTAGCCTCATCCCATCCATTTACCTTAGCTCCCAATTCAAATTGTGCATGCCAGATAGATATCCCATTATTGTTGTTCCCCACTAAATGGAGCCTTTGACCAGGAGATGGGGCTTGTGTGTCTCCCCTCCTCACACAGGGCGCTCTTCCCACTGCACCATCCATCTCCCCCTGCTCAAAGCCCACACAGTGACAAAACTATGCACTCACTACAACAGCACCAGGGTGGAGCAAGATGACGCAGTCACCAACCTCAACTGCAATCAGGAAGTTTCGGGGATGGTGGGAGGAGCTGCAGTAGCTGAGATCACCAGGACTGTCTCCCTCCAGGCTGTTCCTTTCCCCTCCCCCCTTATTCTGCAAGTCACTGGCACTGGGAGAAACTTATTCACACTGCTGGCATGAAGTGGGGGGCATGGAGGGATTAAAGAGGTCCCTTCTCCTGGAAATTCTCACCGGGCTGGGACACGACGAGCTCCAGCGATTTAAGGATGGGCTGGGTGAAGTTCAGCTGAAGGAGGGGCAGGAACGTGTCCCTGCAGAGAGGCTACAAGATGCTTCTCCAGCCCAGCTTGTGGACCTGCTCATCAGCTTCTATGGGGAGCATGAGGGTGCAGAGGTGACTGCAGCTGCCCTGAGAGCCACGGGCCAGGAAGCCCTAGCAGAGAGACTCATGGAGACCCCACAAGCTGGTAAGGAAGGAGCCACTAGGACATAAAATCCTAGTAGGGTCCCAAACAGTCCCCCTTCCCTGATCCCCCTAGAAATATTGGGGGTGGCAGGAGAGTGCTAGGAAGTGTCTGTCTGAGGGTAACACCCCTTATCCCCTCTTACCAAAGTTAATACAAGCTTGTTATTAATGAATTACACATACTACGGAGAGAGAATTCATTAGCTATGCATATTTACTAATTAATATGTAAAATAATATCCTGCAACAAGTACAGAGCCCTAAATGAAGACCAGATTAGGGCGGGATTATGGGGCAAAATACTTTTTGGGTCACCTGGCTGTGCAAGGCTGCCAACTAACAGCCCCCCATGTCCACTGAACTAGGTATAATGGCCCATATAAGGACCTGTCTTTTGGACTGGGATTATGGTTGGAAATCCTGTTTGGGTCACCCCACACCATACCTCTGTATCACTGGGGAACTCTCCCTGACATGTCTGACCAGAGTTTTGCATGGCCTAAAGCCCAGTTTGTGTGTGCCAGGCTGCCAACTGACAGTCCCCCCATACCCACTGTATTAAGTATATGGGCTCAAATAAGGAACTGCTTTCACCTGGGTTAATGGTTGGAAATTCTTTTTGGGCCGCCCCTCACCATGCCTCTGTACCACCAGGGTGCTCTCATGGACATCCCTGACCAGAGTCTTGCCTGACCCAAAGCATGGCTTGGCCGTGCTATGCTATCAACTAACAGCCCTCCCATGCCCACTGTACTAAGTATATGGGTTTGAATAAGAAACTGGTTTGGGGCTGGGATTATGACTGGAAATCTTTCTTGGGCCACTGCAAACCATACTGCTGTGGCACCAGGGGTATCTCCTGGACACCTCTGACCAGAGTCTTGCCTGGCCTAAAGTGCGGTTTCTTTGTGCCAGGGTGCCAATTGACAGCCCCCAGCCATGCCCGCTGTACTAAGTACATTGGTTTGAATAAAGATCTGGTTTTTGGGCTGGGATTATGGTTGGAAATCCTGTTTGGGGCACCCCTCACCATGCTTCTGGGGCACTAGGGCGCCTTCCTGGACATCTCTGACCAGAGTCTTGCCCGGCTCAAAGCGTGGTTTGTGTGTGTCAAGCTGCCAGCTGACGGCCCTCCAGTCACTGTATTAGGTGTAATGGCTTCAATAAGTAACTGGTTTTGAACTACAATTATGGCTGGAAATCGTTCTTCGGCCACCACCCAACATACCTGTTGGATTGAAGGACTCTCCCAGATATCTCTGACCAGAGCCTTGACCAGCCCAAAGTGTGGTTTGGCCGTGCCAGGATGCAAACTAACAGACCCCCATGACCACTGTACTATGTATAATGGCTCAAATAAGGATCCAGTTTTGGGCTGGGATTATGGCTGGAAATCCTGCTTAGACCACCCCACCCCATGATTCTGTGGCACTGGGGGATCTCTTCAACACCCCTGAGCAGTCTTACCTGGTCCAAAGTGCAGTATGGCCATGCCAGTCTGCCATGTGACGCCCCCCACCCCCCCACCCGCCGCCACTGTACTAAGTGTAATGGCTTGAATAAGGAACTGACTTTTTGGATGGGATTATGGCTAAAAATCCTTCTTGGACCACCCCACACCAAGCATCTGTGGCAACGGGGAACTCTCTTGGAGATCTGTGACTTGAGCACTGTCTGGTCCGAAGCACGTTTTGGCCATGCCAGGCTCCATTTTACTCCCCATCCCTGCATGCTGTTTACATGCTACCAATTAGGAGCTGCCCTTCTGCTGGGATCATAGGGGAAAACCCTCTTGGAATCATCCTAAAACATGTCCCCACTACCAACAGAGCCTCCTGAAGAAATCTGGGCATGTCCCTGCTCAACCCAATGCTTGGTTTTTGAGTATGAGCCTGACAGTTGCCACCCAACCTTTAAGATCTCTATGTTGTTGTTCCACCAGGTACTGGATGGCAGGAAGAACAGCTTCATACAGATATAGGGTGCCTATACACATGACAGACCTCTGCTGTGACACATGGTATTTAGCACATGTCAGAGCAGACACGATTAATTGAGTCTGCTGCCAGTCTGCTGAAACATGCTAATTAGCATACTCCAGCAGCCTCTGCATCATGTGTATTCACTGTTCTTGCATTTCAAAATGGCAGCAGGGGTGCTTTAACTAAAGCTTGTCAAACAAGCTTTAGTTAAAGCACCCCCACAGCCATTTTGAAGCGTGGGGTGCTGAATACATGTGACACTGTGGATGCTTTAATAAGAGTGTCTGTCAGAGACTTCCTAATTAAATCACACCCTCCCCCCACCCCACCACCCCCTGTAGCATGGGTATAGATATCCCTAGGGATTTTTCAACAGCTTTTCACATTTACCTCCAGCTGCCACCCAGGAACTTGGTAAAGTAACATAAAACTGGGTGTTGTGATTTAAAGAAACTTGCTCACTCACTAGCAAATGTTAAATTAAAAGAATTTTATTACAAGCAGAAAAGGGAACTGCAGTACTTAACCTGGAAAGATGTGTGCAGTGGAGTCCCTCAGGACTCAGTTCTGAGGTCGATGCCATTCAACATCTTCATCAGTGATCTGGACGAGGGGGTGGGAAGTACCCTGTCCAAATTTGCAGATGACACAAAAAGATGGGATGAAGCTAACACCCTGGAGAGGAGGAACCAGATCCAGGCTGACCTAGACAGGTTGGGGAGGTGGGCAGAAAGCAACAGGATGCAATTCAATAAGGACAAGTGCAAAGTGCTGCATCTAGGGAGGAAGAACTGGCATCATACCTACAGGCTGAGGGGCCACCTTCTCAGCTCCACTGAAGCAGAAAGAGATCTTGGAGTCACTGTTGACTCCAGGATGAACACGAGTTGTCAATGTGATGTAGTAGTCGGCAGAGCCAATAGCACCTTGTTGTGCATCCGTAGGTGCTTCACAAACAGGTCCAGGGAGATGATTCTCCTTCTCTACACAGCACTGGTCAGGCCACAGCTGGAGTACTGTGTCCAGTTTTGGCTGCCGCAGTTCAAGTGGTGTTGGGTAAAACTTGTCCCCAGGTTCATTAGGCGGAGGCTCAGACGAACAACAACATAAGTTTAAAGACTTGATTTATTAAAGAATGCATTCTGAACAGACAACTGCCTCGAGAGGAAACTGTCTATTGTTCTACTTCGCGCAGCTTGATTATATAGCAAGTATGATATAGGAAGTATGACATCATATGCATAGTAACAGATACATCAATCTATTTAATAGCCACACACTTCCTATACTAGTATCCTGTTTTTACTAAACTAGAATTGTTCCAGTTTCTGCTTAGCCTAGCAGTTTGGGGTCATGCCCTTTGACTTCCTCACAGCTTAAGCTGTGTACATGACCTGCTCACTTACACATAATGGCGATTGACTCTGTTCTGTTCCCCTTCAGTGGGATGCAGACAACCTGGAGAGGGTCCAAATCAGAGCCACTCATCTGATTGGAGGCCTGCGGCGGAGGCCCTATGAGGAAAGGCTAACCTCTTCAGCCTCTCCAAGAGAAGGCTGAGAGGGGACCTTGTGGCAGTGTACAAAAAATATAAGGGGAGAGCAGTATGAAGTAGGCAACAATCTGTTCACCAGGGCACCCCCTGGAACAACAAGGAACAATGGCCATAAGCTACTGGAGAGTAGGTTTAGACTGGAAATTACAAAAAGGTTCTTTACGGTCAGGGTTGCCAGGATCTAGAATGGGCTTCCAAGGGAGGTGGTGCTTGCCCCATCCTTGGGGGTCTTCAAGAGGAGACTGGACAGGCACCTGGCTGGGATCACTTGATCCCAGGTTTGATGACCCTTTTCTTGCCTGCCAGGGGCAGGGTGTTGGATTAGATGGCCCACTGAGGTCCCTTCCAACCCTAGAATCTATTAATCTAAGCAAAACCTTAACTATTAACCATTAACTGTAGCTCAAAACTGATCACAGTCACAGTCAGTGGCAAACCAACCTGGGGAGCTCCCTTCTACCCCAGTCACTTGAGAAGGGAGTCTCACCCAGGGCTGCCATCCAGGGACTCTACCACCTGCACAAGTTTAGTAGTACATTCTGGGTAGGAAGGACCAACCCAGAAGCTCTGTTACTCTCCACTGCCAGGGGCTCATAGATTTACAGAATCATAGAGAAGTGGGGCTGGAAGGGACCCCAGAGGTCACCTAATCCAAGGCCCTGCCTGAGGCAGGATCAACCCTATCCAAACCATCCCATTTAACCATACATCATAGACCTAACACCCAAACCTGCCACAAGTAAAGCAGGGGAGCTATGGCAGCCACTGTCCTGCTTTTATGAAATATTATCAATATATGTGCCAGAGATTCCCTGGTAGAGGAATCTATCCCCTGCTATCGAGGAAGGCAATACCCCCCCCCAGTCCATATGCCAATCTGATCATGGGATAAAAGTCCTTCCTGACTCTGAATATGGTGATTGGACTGACCCTGAGTGAAGGACAAGACCCTCTAGTCAGGACTCTCTGGCTTTGCTCTCTGGTTTTCCAAATTCCTAGTTCAAGTCCTGAGCCTTAGCTATAGCTGCACTCAGTGCATCTGAAGAAGGCTTAAAAACACCCTGACACATGTAAGCATAGCTATGCCTAAGTCATCCCTGACCAGTAGCTGTCCAACCTCTTACTGACCCCCCACCCAGTGATGGAGAGTCCACAACTTCCCTGGGCATCTATTCCAATACTTCATTATTCTCACAGGGAAGAAGGTTTCCTAGATAACCAATGTAAATTTACTTTGCTGCAGCTTCTTGCCATTGGTTCATGTCCTCCTCATTGCAAGGGTTGCTGCCCTTCTCCTGGACTTCTACCACCTATGACAGCCAAAGTAGCAAGAGCTGGCTAGTGAAAGCCATGCCACAGTTACTATGCCTTGATGCTGGAGAGCGTTGCTAGAGTTCGATGATAGGAAGTTCTACTGTGGATGCCACTTTCAGGGGTCTCTGTTGCTTTGCTGGGGTCTTTGCTGGTCCTCCATGCTGCTGGGGCATCTCCTCCACTCCTCCACGCCACTGGGGGGGTGGGGTCTCTGCTGCTCCTCCATGGTGCTAGAGGGTCTCTGTTACTCTGCTGGGGGGTGTCTGTTGCTCTGCTGGGGGTGTCCATTGCTCTATGAAGTTGGGGGTCTCTGCCACTCCTCCATGCTGCTGGTGGGGGGAGGGGGGTCTCCACTGCTCTTCCATAGTGCCAGAGGGTCTCAGTTGCTCTGCAGGGGGGTCTCTGTTGTTCTGTGGGGGATCTCTGCAACTCCTCCACACTTCTGGGGGGTCTTCACCACTCCTCTGGGGGATCTCTGCTGCTCCTCCACACCACTGGGGATGTCTGTTGCTCCATTGGGGGGCGGTCTCTGCTACTCTGCCACACCACTGTGGGTATCCATCACTCCTCTGTCCTCCCAGGGTTTTCTACTGGTCCTCTTTAGGTTGCCATGGAACCCCACATCTTTCAGGTTCTGCCCTGTATCAGTGGTAGGCTCTGGGATTTTTTTCCAGCTCTTTTTACTATAGTACAGTATTGTGTTGACCCACTAGGGAGCACTTTATTCAGAAGCACTTTTAATATGAAGAGTTCATTGAAAACATCCAGGGAGAGACTCCTGTCTGGAATCTTTTCCTTTTGCCACACTGCTCCTGGGGACTTAACCATAAGGGTAAGATAAGGGTGTGCTATAAAGCTGGACACTTGGCTGTTTATTTTTAGGACTGTAATTGGGTGTCAGGGACCTCAGAAAGGTGCCCGAGCCAAGCTGGATGTCTATGGGGTAAAAGGGACTAACCACAAGAGAGGTTCGGGCTCAGGGTGAGGGGGGGCGAAGGAGGAGTCTAAAGGAATGGAGGGGTCTCTCCTTTCACTGCCCATCCTCTTCCCATGGGGGCCCTGGGGGATTTCCAGGGAGACGTGCTGTGGGAGTCTCCAGCCTCTGTCCCTCTAAGGCTGTGGTTCTAAGGCTTCTTGATTCAAGGCATCCTTCCATAATCTCAAAGGCTGTGCAGAAACATGTTGCCGTTTAGCTGTCACTCATGTTTTCATTATGGAAAATCCTAGAGTAATATCTCTGTTGCAAAGAACTCACAAAGGACCCGATGGGTCAGAAGCTCTGAGGTTCTCCTTTGAATAATATTTCCATGCCTAAAATTACTAAGAGTAACCCGGCAACACCCTTTAAAAGATCTCAAGGTGTGGGAGAGTATTGTGGTTTCTTCATCATTGAAAATCAAAATCAGAAAGCTTTGAATATGACTTTATCCTTTTTCTCCTTCACACCCTCTGCTTTGTTTTTCATACAGATAATGATTTAATTCACATGGAGGAACATACTTTTGAGATATCCAATATTTTCTCTGCTGAAAAGTCAGGTGAGCTACCAGTGGCTGGGTGGGTGACCCCTCCTTTAAATGCAGCAAAAGACATGGGCTGCAGCTTTTAAAACCCTGGGTTGTCACCCTGACAAGGCAGCCTGTTGAGGGCTGCAGCATTGCAGGGGAGGACCTGGAGGCTGCAGCATATCTGAAGCTGAATATGGGACAACAGGGTGCTGATACAACATACTGGGCTGTATCACTTGCAAATCTAGAGCCATGATTCTCCCACTCTATTCAGAACTGAGGAGCCCTCCCCTGAAGTCCTGTGTCCAGTCTTGTGCCCCATCTGCTAAAAGGATGTGCACAGATTGGAAAGAATCCAGCACAGAGAAGAGAAAATGATCTAGGGCTTCAGAGACAAAACTGGTGATGAGGACAGGCAGAGAGAGTTGTGGTGATTAAGTCATTAGAAGAAAAGACTGAAGGAGATATGATCACAGTCTTCCAACCCCTGAGGGCCAATAACAGAGAGGAAGGAGATGGGTTTTTCTCTGTGGCTTTAGTGGACAGGACTAGCAGCAATAGCCTCCAGCTGCATTAGGTTGAAATGAGGTTGGGGACAAGGAGGAACTCCCTGACTCTGAGGGCGATCGAGCATTGGAACAGGCTGCCTAGAGAACCTGTGGAGTCTTCATCCCTGGAAATGCTCAAATGCAGAGTAGACAGACACTTGGTTGGGATGATTTAGTATGGACTGGTCCTGCCTTGGCAGGGAGCTGCATTGGTGATGTTGTAAGGTCCCTTCCAGCTTCACTTGTCCATAATTTAGGATAACAACACATTATAAATGTAAACACATCCCTGGGTTTTCAGGGATCACAGCAGGATATGAGGAAACTTCTGAGCTCCTTCCTCTTCTTATATCCCTACTGGGTTGAATAGGCCTGGCTGTGGGCTGGGGAGGTGACTGGAAGAGTCTAAAGGAATGGGGCCTCTCCCTTCCTCCACCATTCTTTTCCCGTTCCCATTCATCTGGGGGCCCTGGGAATTTCCAGGGAGCCGTGCTCTTGGAGTCACCAGCCTCTGTGCCTCTAAGGCTGTGGTGCTCGACCTTGTTAGACTCAAGGCACCCCTCCATAGTGTCAGCATTCCCTTTCAAGAATGACGGCTTCTGGTTCTGCCACACCTTGCTGTTATTGGTACTGGGATGGACGGATGCTGTCCAGGTCTGAGAGAAAGTCCTGATCCAATCGTTATCTTTGGGTCCTTTCAGAACCCCACTGGTCTCCATCCCAACTCCAAGTGCTCAATGGGACTGCCTGGCCCATCCATACCCCAGGGCACTAGTCACCATAAGGCTTAATGGTGTGGCTCTGACCAACCCTAACAGCCATGCTCATGCCTCACAGGAGAACTTGTCATCCCCTGGGTGAGGCTGTCTGCCCACAAAAAACACCAGGCCACTTCAGGCCTTCAGCCCCTTGTTGGGGCTTTGGCCTTCCCAGCTTCTGCCCCTATGGTCTCGCTAGTGCCTTATAACCTCAGCCCAGTGCACCAGACCTGAGCTAATAGGGCACTAGTCCTTATCTCGTCAGCTCCACTTTGGCCCTTGTTGTGCTTGTCTGGTGCTCTGGCCTCACCCCTCTCTGACTTCAATCAGCCCCTTCTTAGGATCTGGTGCTGTTCCTCAAGGCTGTGGGCCCCTGGTTATAGTTCAGCCCTCTAGGGCTTTGGTTTCACTCCCCTGAGGATATGGACCCCTGGCCCCAGTTGTGCTCTGCTCATACACTGGACCACCAGGCCCTGACTCTGCCCTGCTTGGGCACTGGGCCTTAGCTCCCCTGGCTTCCAGCCATACCATCACTCTCTTTGCCTTACTATGGGCTCGCTCTCTGCACTGCTCTAGGCACTGCTCAGTCCTCCTCTCCCTGATATCCCCAACCCGATCCACCAGTAAACTAGAACAAAGGAATATGCCCTATGGATGAAAAACAAACTCTGATGGGATCCAAAACCCAATTATCTGATCTTCTGATGACTCACAATAGTTCCCTTACCCTGAGTCCTACACTGCTGCCCGGCAGTGGCATTTTCCCTGCATGCCCAGAGAAGCTTATGTAGCTCTCAATATGGCTTTGTCATTTTTTCTCTTTCGTAACCTAATTTTGGTTTCTTACACAGACTATACCTGTCTCCTTTTACCTATGATGGAACAACGGAAACTTATTCAGATCGCTGACTGCAGTGTGATACTTCCAGGTGAGCTACTAACGGCCAGGCGGGTGACCCCTCCTTTAAGTGCAGCAAAAGACATGGGCTGCAGTTTCTAAAACCCTGGGTTTTCCCCCTGAGAAGTCAGTCTATTGAGCGTTGCAGCCTACTGAGCACTGCAGCGAATGACCTGGACACTGCAACATATCTGAAGCTGAATATGGGGCAACAGGGTGCTCTTGTTGCAACAAGCAACCAACAACATACTGGGCTGCTGGTTGTTGTGATGGCTGCAAGTGATGGGCTGCATCACTTGCAAATCCAGAGCCATAATTCTCCCACTCGATTCAGAACTGAGAAGCCCTCCCTTGGAGTCTTATATCCAGTCTTGTGCCCCACCTGCCAAGAAGGATGTGCACAGATTAGAAAGAATCCAGCACAGAGAAGAGAAAATGATCTGGGGCCTGGAAGACAAAATTGATGATGAGAACAGGTAGAGAGGGTTGGGGCAATTCAGTCTGGAGAAGAGAAGACTGAAGGAGATATGATCACAGTCTTCCAACCCCTGAGGGCCAATGACAGAGAGGAAGGAGATGGGCTGTTCTCTGTGGCTGCAGTGGACAGGACTAGCAGCAATGGCCTCCAGCTGCGTCAGGGTAAACTGAGGTTGGGGATGAGGAGGAACTTCCTGATTCTGACTGTGATCGAGCATTGCAACAGGCTGCCTGGAGAAGCGATGGAGTCTCCTTCCCTGGAAATTCTCGAACGCAGGGTGGACAGGCACTTGGTTATGATTATTTAGTAGGGACTGATCCTGCCATGAACGGGGAGCTACATTGATGATGTCGCAAGGTCCCTTCCAGCTCCACTTTTCCATGTTTTAGGATAACAACACATTACAAATGTAAACACATGCCTGGGTGCAAAGATCATGGCAGGATGTGAGGAACCTTCTCCTGAGCACCTTCCTCTTTATATCCCTACTGGGTTGAATAGGCCTGGCTGTGGGCTGGTGGAGCTGGGGCTGAGGGGAGGTGACTGGAAGAGTCTAAAGGAATGGGGCCTCTCCCTTCCTCCACCATTCTTTTCCTGTTCCCTTTGGGGGCCCTGGGAATTTCCAGGGAGCCATGCTCTTGGAGTCACCAGCCTCTGTGCCTCTAAGGCTGTGGTGCTCGACCTTGTTAGACTCAAAGTACCGCTCCATAGTCTCAGCGTTCCCTTTCGAGAATGACGGCTTCTGGTTCTCACTTGTTTTTTGACAGCAGAAAATCCCTAGTGTTATCTCCGTGTTGCAAAGGACTCAGAAAGCCACGAGGAGTTGGAACCCCTGTGTTTATCTTCTCAATGACAGTAGCAGGCCTAGGTTTTTAAGAAACAAACTGCAGCACTTCTGAAAGGCTCACAAGGCACCCCAGACCGCTGTGCATCCTCCGGGAACAGGACAGGGCCCCAAGGGCAGACATGATGCTGTTCAGCTCTGGCTCATGGTCCACTCCCTCTTTTGCCCTGTCTCCTGCCACACCTTGTTGATATTGGTGCTGGGTTGGAGGGAAGCTGCCCAGGTCCCAGAGAGAGTCCTGATCCAATAGCTGTCCGTGGGTCCTTCCAAAACCACACTGGTCTCCATCCCAACTCCAAGTGCTTGGTGGGACTGCCTGGCTCCAATTGCCTGGTCCGTCTTTGCCCCAGGGCACTAGTCACCATTAGGGCTAATGCTGTGACTGTGACCTCCCTTATTTCCATGCGGATGCCTCATAGGGGAACTCATCATCACCTGGGTGGGGCTCTCTGCCCACAAATAACACCAGGCCACCTCAGGCCTTTAATTCCTTGTTAGGGCTTCTGCCTTCCCACCTTCCACCCCTATGGTCTTTCTGGTGCCTTATAGCCTCAGCCAGTGCACCAGACCTGAGCTAATAGGGTACTAGTCCTTTGTGTTGCCTTCTCCACTTTTCCTCTTGCTGCATCTATCTGGTGCTGTGGCCTCAGCCCTCTCAAGCTCCTATCTCTGCTCAGGTCCTGCCCCTCAAAGCAGTGGGCCCCTGGTGCTAGTTCTTCCTTCTAGGGATTTAGTTTCACCCCCTCAAAGCTTTAGGCCCCTAGCCCCAGTTGTTCCCTGCTCATGCATCAGGCCACCTGTCCCTGACTCTGCCCTGCTTGGGCACTGGGCCTTAGCTGCCCTGTCTTCCAGCCATACCATCACTCTCTTTGCCTTGCTATGGGCTCGATCTCTGCACTGCTCTAGTCACTGCTCAGACCTCCTCCTCCCTGATATCCCCAACCCAATCCACCTGTAAAGTAAAACAAAGGAATAAGCCCTAAGGATAAAAACAGACTCTGACTGGGTCCAAACCCCATATCTGGTCCTCTGATGATTCAGAATAGTTCCCCTACACTGAATCCAGACAGTGGCATTCTACCTTCGTTTGTGGAGGAGCTTACATGTCTCTCAGTATGACTCTCTCTTTTTTTTTCTTTCACACCCTGGTCTTCATTCCTCGTATAGACTTAGATCGTGTCTTTCTCATGGATGAGTGTTATTCTGAGAAGCCGATTATTCAACCCGCTAAAGATTCAGGTGAGCTACCAATGGCTGGGGGGGGGACCCCTCCTTTAAGTGCAGCAAAAGACATGGGTTGCAGCTTCTAATACCCTGGGTTCTCCCCCTGACAAGTCAGCCTGTTGAAGGCTGCAGCACTGCAAGGAAGGACCTGGAGGTTGCAACATATATGAAGAGAAATATGGAATCAGAGAGTGCTCTTGTTGCAAAATGCAGCCAACAGCATGCTGGGATGCATCACTTGCAAATCCAGTGCCATGATTCCCCCACAATATTTAGAACTGAGGAGCCTTCCCCTGGAGTCCTGTGTCCAGTCTTGTCCCCCACCTGCCATGAAGGATGTGCACAGATTGGAAAGAATCCATCACAGAGAAGAGAAAATGATCTGGGGCCTGGGAAACAAAACTGAGGACAGGCAAAAAGAGTTGGGGTGATTAAGTCAGGAGAAGAAAAGACTGACGGGGATATGATCACAGTCTTCCAACCCCTGAGGGCCAATGACAGAGAGGAAGGAGATGGGCTGTTCTCTGTGGCTGCAGGGGACAGGACTAGCAGCAATGGCCTCCAGCTGCATCAGGGTAAACTGAGGTTGGGGATGAGGAGGAACTTCCTAATTCTGACTGTGATCGAGCATTGGAACAGGCTGCCTAGAGAAGTGATGGAGTCTCCTTCCCTGGAAATTCTCAAGTGCAGGGTGGACAGGCACTTGGTTGGGATGATTTAGTAGAAGCTTACCCTACCTGGAGCAGGGAGCTGCATTGGTGATGTTGTAAGGTCCCTTCCAGCTCCACTTGTCCATAATTTAGGATAACAACACGTTACAAATGTAAACACATCACTGGGTTTCAGGGACCACAGCAGGATATGAGGAAACTTCTCCTGAGCACCTTCCTCTTCACCTGTGGGGTCCCTAGGGAATTTCTAGGGAGCTGTGCTGGCTCCCTGGAGGAGACACTAGCTTCTGTCCATCTAAGGCCGTGGTGCTTTGCATTGTTTGACTTAAGGCACCCATCCATAGTCTCAGCACTCCCTTTGCAGAATGATGGGTTCTGGTTCTCCCCAATTTAATCTTCCAGCTAACTAAAGCAAAGGAATAAGCCCTCTGGCTGAAAAATAAACTGACTGGATCCAAACCCCAAATAGCTGCTCTTCTGACTCACAGTACTTCTCCTACCTTGATTCCTATACTGCTGCCAGCCAGTGCCAATCTACCTGTTTGCCCAGAGGAGGTCACATGTCTTGTAATATGACTCTGTCTTTTTTTCTCTGTCACACCCTCTTCTTCATTTCTGATACAGACAATGATCTTCCAACTAGGATACGTGCGTGTGCTTCTGAGATGCCTACTATTCTCTCCACTGAAGATTCAGGTGAACTACCAACAACCAGGACGGTGACTTCTCCTTTAAGTGCAGCAAAAGACATGGGCTGCAGCTTCTAAAACCCTGGTTCTCCCCTGGACTATGGGCTCCTGACACCACTTGTGCCCTGCTCAGGCACTGGGTCACGTGGCCCTTACTCTGCCCTACTTAGGCACTGGGTCTTAGCTCCCCTGGCTTCCAGACAGTTGCATCATTCTTTTTGTCTTGCTCTGGGCTCAGGCTCTGCCCTGCTCTGTGCACCGCTGGGACCTCCTCCTCCCCAATATCCATAACCCAAGCCACCAGTTTATTATAAAAAATGAATACTGCCTCTGGTTTAAATACAAATTCTCACTGGGTGCATCCACGTGTGTACCCTACAGCACAGGTGTTAGTGTGCAGGCATTTAGTACTTACTTTAGCGAGTACTACATGCTGGGGAGTAACCACTGTTACTGTGCATTCTGGTGGCACACGGCTGTTTCCCACGCTACTGCATAGTAGCAATGCCTCCCAGTGGTACCTCACCATAGAGATGAGCTATGTCACTGTAGCTTATCACTATGGTGACATAACATCTCACATAGATGCTCCCACTGGGTTGGAACCCCAAATATCCGCTCCTTTGTTGACTCGCAACACTTCCCCTACCCTGATTCCTATACTGCTACCAGCCAGTGGCAGTCTACCTGCATGCCCAAGGTAGCTTAAATAGCTCTGAGAATCTCTTCTGCATCTCCCTTGTCCTGGAGCTCCTTCCTAGGTGTCTCTAGTATCAAACTGCCTCCCTGGTCCAGGCCCTGATCTATATGCTTCCCCAGCCCTGCCCCTTTCTGGGCAGATGGCTTTCCCCAAACAGCTGCCCAGAATTTCTTATCAGGGCACAATGGCTGGGCACAATGTCAACTCAGCAGCATCCTTGTGTGTCTTCAGCAGCACCCTTGTTGCCTACACTAGGCTCCATCCTGTTATCCTACTATCCTATTGTCCTATAGTCTTATTGTAGAGCTGCTCGCTCATGGCCTTTGTCTACTAGCTGCCCATTCTCTGACAGCCAGCTTCTTCTGTGTAGTGCCCACTGGACTGGCTGAAGCTGTTCCCCTTCTCCTTAATGAACAGCCCCTGCTCAGGCGGTAATGTTTCTTTGCTGCTTACCCTGTTGCAGCTTGCCTCTCTCTCTACTGCCAAGCTCCATCTGCAACAGTTTTTCTCTTTAAAGTAACAGGAGCCCTAGGAGAATCAAAGCTCTAAGGTATAGCTAGTATTCTGCATTTTTCTCTTTTTGACACCCTCTGTTTGCATCTCCCATGGATGAGGAAGTATTATGTTCTGAGTTTGGCTCCCATGAAGATTCAGTGAGCTACAACCGGCCATACAGGTAACCTCTCCTTGATCTGCCGCAAGGGACATGTTCTGTTTGCAGGACAAGGCATCTCCCAAATCCCTGGCTTCTGCCCCTGAGAGTCACATAGCTCAGGCGGCCTTTGAGGAAGAGGACTGGGAGGTTGGAGTACTGTATTGTGTCATATACAACACACCTCAGAGTAAGATATGCACCTTGTGTTGGAAGGGAGCAGGAAGAGGAAGAAGACATTTCCTCCACAGCCTTTGCTGGTGGGTAGGAGAAAGTTCCCACGGTCAAGGAGCTTACAGACAGGATAGGGCAAGTTTATATTCACTTCCTGCTCGGGCAGATGGAGAAGCTGCTGCTGCAATTCCTCACTTATAATATGCCCCTTGATTGCAAGCAGTGGGATTAGGTGGGGAAAGGCATGTGAGGTACTCTGAGAAATATAGTCTTTTGTGAAGAGCATTCTCCTCCAAGGGTTAGGTGACTCTGTTATGGAGTTATGGACTCTCGGGTTGGTTACCCTCTCCTCTCACTGATGCAAGGGACACATGAGGCTTTATAGGTCCAGGCAGCTGCTCAAATCTTCGGGCCTCCCCTTCACAGCACAGGCTCCCTGGGTGGACAATGACTAGGAAGTTAGAGATGGAGGGGTGTCATCTGAAAATCTCGAGGTATTTTTAGTGAATCATGTTTGCACTCCTAAGAGCGCACCTTGCATCACACTTGCAAGTATCTGCTGTGGTTCCTACCTGGTTGAGAATCATGGCTCTAAGGCTTTACATAGGGGTCTGCATTCCTCTTTCCTTCACATCCCCTCCTTTGTTTCTTCCTCAGGCCATTGTCTTCCACCTCCCATAGATGTGAGTGCCTCTGAGATGATGTCTACTACTGATTCCTACAAAGATTCAGGTGAGCTGCAAATGGCCAGGCTGGAAGTACTAAAGTTTCTCACATACAATATGCCCTGAAATATTATACACCCCTTGTTTTTGAAAGACCGAATTAAAAAAAAAAAAAAGTATATTTCCTTGTAATAAGTGATTGAGCAGTGATGGAACTGGGTCTGCTTATTGTTTTGCTCCTTGTGAGTTCCATGCAAGTTTGAGTCTCATGTTTCCCCATCACAGAAAGTGTTCTTACCATGTGTCTTGCACAGTGAAATTTCAGAAGCTGGTTTTGGGAAACCAAGTGTGTTGTTCCCCATCTTCACACCATCTGGGGACAGCAGCAGGTGGGCCCTCCCTTTCTCACCAGCTCCCTTCACACAACAAGGCACATAGCCCTCCTGCAAGGAAATATGGTAACCTGAAGCTTCAGACATCCCACAGCTCCCATATGCCTCCAGCCACTCCTTTTCCCCAGCACAAAGTTCCCTTTCCCATATGCCTACAGCCACTCCTTTTCCCCAGCACAAAGTTCCCCTCGGCCTGGTTACGTGGAGTCTTGTTCTCTCCTCTGCAGTGAGACAAGAGGATGGGGCTGGAGTAGGTTCTAATACAGGCCAGAGGAGAAAGCTCATGTGTCAATTATGTCAGACAGAGGAGGTGAGGACTGCATTTTTTTAACCCAACAGTCTCCATATGCCCCCTCTCTGACTGACCATCATTCATCTCTCTACACCCATTCTATCTGTCCATTCTTCCTGAAACCCCTCCTCTGTTTTTCCATCCACTTCTGCCCATGCAGAAACCCCATACTCCTGTGGAGGCAAGTTAACGCTTGTTTCTGTTTCAGGATATTTTTGAAGAAGTAATGCCAGAAATTGTTCCAGGTCCAAAGAGGTATCAGCATACATACAGGTAAGAGCTGGGGTTCCTGGTGCACTTGCCCTACATGCTACTCCTGTTGTCTCCAGCTGGCCTGGGGGCATGGGAGCTCCAGGACTACCTGTGCCCTGATACAGCTACAGGGCCCTGGAGAGCAGCTACATGGGGTGCCCACTCCCTGCCTGGTTCCCCTCACCTCTCCACTGCAATTCCTCAGCTGTTCCCAGGGATCCAGCTGATGAAAGCTATTCTGAGGGCTGAGGATGGTGTCCTCAGTGGGTAATACTCACCCTTCCAGGCACTCCTACCCCCTGTCCCTCCCCTGTATGCCTACAGAGTTGCCCAGGATGGAAAAGTTGGACGAGAAGCAGAGACCAGGGGCCCTGTGGAGATGCTACCACAGTCCCTGCCTGGAGGTGGGCAGGAGACATCCTGAGGCTTTCCCCCATCTTCACACCATTTGGGGACAGCAGCAAGTGGGCCCTCCCTTTCTCACCTGCTCCCTTTACACAACAGGGCACCCAGCCCTCCAGGGCTACAGATGAGTCCATCTGCATGTGCCTGTCACTGTGGAGAAAGAGAGGTGTGACCACTCCACCCCACCCACCTGGATCTTCCCCAGCTGGGATCCCATACACTTCTCACCTGGGGATCCAAAGAGCAGGGGCAGAGTGCAGATGCTGATCCTAGGAGGAAGAAGTGCATATTCTATGCCAGACAACCTGGTAGACATGTATTCTTGAGGTCTAGGATGAACCGGAATGAGGTCTTGGGTTTCTCTTTCTTGTCAGGGTTCATTTCACCAGGACAGGTTCATACCGATGTTCTGAAACAGCTCTGGGCTTCGAGGTGAGGGCATCGGTGGCCATTGAGTACAAATGGGAATCCTGGAAGCGGCATCTGAATCCACATCAGCTGCAGGGATGGGATGTTGCTGGCCCCTTGTTCAACTTCCAAGTGGAGCCAGCTGGGGCCATAGCAGCCATTCACCTCCCGCATGTCGTGTGCCTCAAAGGTAACGGGTGGGAGATAGGGGCCAGAATCAGAGCTGTGTCAGTCACAAGGGTCCCATGCTTGTATACATCCCACAATGACTGTTTTTTCAAAGCCATGGTGTAAGGCGGAGGTCGACAAGGTTTCAGAGCCATGGGGTGGAACCATTCAGCTGGGATATGAGGCAGGATAAGTGCTCTGACCTGGCTGCCTGGCTCTGTCCCTGGCACAGCTTTGATCCAGCCCTGGTGTGGTCATAGGCACAGCCTCCCACCACTGGCCACAAGCCCCCACAGTGCTCAAATCTAGGGGTAGGATCATGGACTGCTGCTGAATCCCACAAGCCAGATCCAGTGCCCAGATCCAGCCCACCAACCAACCCCTGACATACAGGCTTGCATGCATATATAAGATAAGATCTTTTATACGTTACCATATTGTCTCACATACAAAACACACCTTTTCCTCACATATTGGGGTGTGTATATTAAGAATGCTGATTTTCAGCCGAGGGTAATGGTTGTCATGGTTCACTAATCAAGGTAACCTTTCTGTTGGTGATTAAGCTGGCTGCTAGCTGCTTCTGCATTTTCATCTCAAGTTTCAGAGCCCTGATGACTCTTTCTCTCTTGTCAAAGGCATAGCTCCACCCCTGGAGACCCTGGAGCAGCAGCAGCTAGGGCTTTCAGCTTTAGTTAAGCAGGAAAGGGAGGGTGAGTGCACAGAAGATTTGGCTCTCTCCTTGGCCTTTGAAGTCATAAATCTATACTTTTATTTTTCTTCATTCTGAATTTCAAAAACAAGGTGTGTGTTATATTCTGGGGCATGTCATATGTTGGAAGTTATGGTAGTCCATACTCCAGTGAGTCCTGCCCATGTCCTCATGAATTGCAGGCAGCAGTCATCCCTGACACTGGCTAAAGGTTCTTTTGACCATTATCTGAATCTGTTGACAGGTGGAGAGGTTGACATTTCCCTCATGTATGTTGCTCACATCGTTAATGGGGAGCTGACCCTGGAGAAGCCGACGAGAGTGAAGCCGTTCTATGCTGTGCTGGAGAACCCCAGCTTCTCCTGCCTGGGCCTCGTTTTCAGATATTTATTTAAGCATATTCCAGTCCACTCCAAGGTGCTGCTGTATCATGCTGCCATGAGTGCCCCCACAACCCTCCACGTCTACGTGATTCCCTGTGATGATTCACTAGAAAAGGTAAAGGAGAATTCAAAGCACCACATATATGGGGGAAGCCAGAGTCCAGATTTGCCTCTGACTATGGCACAGACGGGGAGGGAGATTTCAGAGTGAGAAAGGTAGCTGTGGTGGAAAAACCTCACCCCCTAGCACAGGGCAGGGCAAGATGGTGATGGACATGTTCAGAGGGCCCTGCATGGCTGAGATATACACTTGGATTGAGAAAAGGGCTACCATATTGATCCACACACTACATGCACATTTCCTCCAAAGAATTAGCCTTCCAAAACTGAACTGTGCATCTTACACAGGGCACGGTTTCCTTAGGGTCATCTCTTTTATTGAACCAATTGCATCGTTGGAAAAGAGTCAGACCAACTTTCAAATGCAAGACATTCTTCAGCAGGTCTGTCTTCATCACAAAATGTTTCTGCCCAGAAAGCAGCAGCAGCTTTCTACTTAGGCAGTGCTGAGAGACTCAATGTGCCATAAAGCAATGAATCATTATCATCTACTTCATTCCTGATAATTCCATATCACTTATCAGGCTTTAATGACCATCTCTCCTTTTTTTAGGATTTCAGTTTCCACAAATCAAGCTTTTGTCTCTGGAAATCTTGCTTTCTGTCCCCTGGCCTCTTTTCTCCTATTTCACAGCCCTGAAAACAGGGTTATAGCTCTCTTCTTAATCTCCTCAGGGGGTCCAGTCTTCAACGGCAGCCACAGTTTCAGATTTTGGCTGAGAAGCTAAGATCGGCTGACAGTTCACCTGTAAAAGGGTTAAAATGATAACTTTTGCCTGAGCAGGAAAGGGAGAGTGAGCATCCTGCAGATGAGGCTTTGTCTGTATGCACCCATAACTCTGGAGAGAAATGTTTTTTTCCCCTTTTTCCTGCCTTCCCAGAAACAGGGCATGGGTCTTATTTGGAGGGGAGGTGGGGGGGCAGGGGGCATGGTAGAAAATATGGTACATAGCCTTGGGTTACCCAGTTATCAGGCTTGAGGGAAGAAGCAGCAAAAGGTCCCTTCTTGGTAGCAATCAGCCTCCTCCCAAATGCAGGCCACTGCAAAAGGGAAACCCCAAATCATACCCATCCTGCAGCCTTGGCCCCTGTAACAAGAATCCTCTGCCATGTGTGGCGGGCCAGTGCGGGGGTGCTCCTGCGCTGAGCCACCAACCTCACTGCTCCCGACCACCTTCCAGGCTCCGAATGCCTCCCTGGGGGTGCCTCATATCAGGTGAGAGCTGTCCATGTAAACTGAGACACTGGCTACAGAGAGCCACGGGGTCACATGACTGGATGTGGAGCAGGTTTGGGGCACATAAGACAAGCCTCTGGGCACTGAGGTGGGACATCTACCCTAACAGCCACAGGGCAGGGATCTCCAAGCTGAACTGGCTGAAGTTTTGAGTGAGTCTGGCCCAGGTGAAGTACCTGGTCGGCTGCGGGGGGAACAAGTCTGCTTAGGTAGCAGGGCTGGAGGAAAGAGAAAGACAAGGGAGGGTTTATATTTGAGTTAGAGCCACTAGGGTTGGTGTTGTGTGTTCAAGCTCAACCAGAGCTTTGGGTAGTGGCCACAGGAGAGCTGTGGAAACCACAAGCCAGGGCATCAGAGATGCTTTGAAGATCGAGATCTCTTCTGGACAGGGGCATGAAGGACCCAGGCCTTGCTACACCCACCTTCCATCTCTTATTCATAGATTCATAGATGTTAGGGTCAGAAGGGACCTCAATAGATCATCAAGTCTGACCCCCTGCATAA